CGTTCAGAGCACCGCGACGTAACTGCGCAGACCTTCGCTGAGCGCGGTCGACGTCTGTCGTTTCCTGGAGATCGCCGTGGACTGGCGATCGAGTGACGACGACGCCCGCCTGCGGCTCGCTTCCTGGTCCGCCTCTGGACGCGCGCGGGACCCAGGGGCTACAACTTTCCGTCGGCAGAAAGCCGGCCTCAGCGCGGCCACCACGGCCGGCACAACCAGCGCAACCAGCACGGCCGGTACGATCAGTGCGGCCACCGTGGCCAGCGTGACCAGTGCAACGCCCCCCGGGCGTAAGGACGGCGAGACCGAGACTGCGGTGTCTTGAACGACATCGAGGGGTCTGGGCAGATCTGGAGAGGACATGTCCACGCCGTCTACACAGCCCCGACTGCGCAAGGGCTCCGCTTCGACAAAGTAAAGCCTAGTCATTATGCTTTTCTGTGTAGGCGGCGCCGACAGACCATGGTCGCGGTGCAGATAAGGACGTCTCTCGAGCAGGCGAGTATGGCCGTGTAGACCTCGGGGTGACACCCTCGTTGAGAGCAGCGCGACGTGTCTGAGCAGACAGTCGCTGAGCACGGTTGACGTCTCTCACCTCCTGGACATCGCCGTTGACGGGCGATCGAGTGGCGATGATGCACAACTGCGGCTTGCTCCCGTGTCCGCTCGTGGACGGCCGCGGGATCCAGTGGCCGGAGCTTTCCGTCGGCAGAACGCTGGCCTCAGCGCGGCCACCACGGCCGGCACAACCAGCGCAACCAGCACAGCCGGTACGACCAGCGCGGCCAGCGCGCCCAGCGTGACGAGCGCAACGCGCTCCGGGCGGGAGGACGTCGAGACCGGGATCGCAGTGCCGGCTCTTCTCCCTCCACGATCCCAGAGACTGTGGATCAACCGTTTGCAGTCGCTCCAGCCCTGGCGCCTTCATCATCCTCCTTGGGGACTGAGCCGATACCTTTTTGCCACTGTCCCAATTTTTCCCGATGTCGCCGTTTTTCTTTTTTATGGGTCTCTTGGACGAAACGGAGGGGTCTAGGCAGATCTGCAGACGACATGTCCACGCCGTCTACACAGCCCCGACGGCGCAAGGGCTCCGCTTCGACAAAGTAAAGCCTGGTCACCATGCTTTACTTTGTCGAATCGGAGCCCCTGCGCCGTCAGGACTGTGTAGGCGGCGTGAACTGTAGTCCGTGTTTTTTGTTTTGGTTGGGTAATTTTAATTTGGAAAATCTTAGAATTGACAGAATCTATGTTTGATTTGTTTGTGTTGCATTTTCTTGTAAAAAATGTAATTAAAAGTTAATGTCATTATCTAAAATGGACTTTTGTCATAGAAATTAGTACAATTGGTTATTCGTACTTATGGTATGTGTTTTGAACGTTCATCCTGTCTAGTGCTTGGTATAGAGAAAACATTTGTTGATGTTACTTTTAAGTTGGCGCAAATCAAGAATAAAATCTGTATTTTTTCATCCTTTGTGACAAATTTTTCTTGATTACCTTACGTGATACCATAACCTTTATTGAGATAACTTGGGTAGTGTGCACAAAAAAAAAAAAAACATTCCTACATTGATTGCCTTTCAGAATCACTAACACACCAACACTCACACAACCACACTCACACACCCACACTCACACACCCACATTCACACACACACACTCACACACCCACACTCACACACCCACACTCACACACCCACACTCACACACCCACACTCACACACCCACACTCACACACCCACACTCACACACCCACACTCACATACCCACACTCACACACCCACACTGACACACCCACATTCACACACAATAAACATAAATTGTGAGTGAGCGAGCGACGCGAAATATGAAAGGAAAATAAAAATAAGCTTTCAATTAAGACAAAAAGAATTTAAGAACGAAAGATTTGCGCCGCGTTCCCCTCTTGAGGGTGTCTAGTAATAACAATGACAGATGTTTGGTATGTGTAAAATGTTTTAACTAAATTAAAAAATTTGCAGGTGATGATGATGATGAAGTGAATTGGGAGAAAATAAAGGTTGATTGGGAAGGGATCAGTCGTATTGGAGATCCCTACTTTGCTCGTCATTTTAGACTTTCTAAAGCCACTTTTGAGGTACAATTGAGTTTCTAAGAGAAATGAATAATGTAATAAGTGTTTCAGTAATAGTTTTACAAACTTTTATTACAGATATTGTTGGAAACCCTAGCAAATTGGATGCTGGACAATGGGAAAATTTTAAGAGTGAGGAAACGTTTGGATCATCCTTTATTGATGGTTCTTTGGGTCCTAGCCAACCCTGACACATTTCGAAGTGTCGCTTTACATTTTGGAGTGCTACCAGGCAGTCTTCATGATCATTACTCTGCATTGACTGTTTGCTTCCGTGAGATGGCTCCCCTCTATGTGAAGTGGCCAGATGCTGCCAGAAGGAGGGAAATTAGTGCTGCTTTCGAAGGCTACTCTGGTTTTCCTGGAATTGCTGGGGTGATAGACGGAACCCACAATAACATCACTGCACCAGCCGTTCAGAAGGAGAAATATAGAAACAGACATCATACATTCAGTTTGAATACACAGGCTGTGTGTGATAACAGACTATTGATCCTAGACTTTCATGTGGGAGAAGTTGGAAGTCTCCACGATGCCAGGGTATTTAGGAGGAGTCCATTATATCGTACGCTGATAGAAAATGAAAATAATGAGATGCTAGATGCTGGCCAACATATTATTGGTGACAAGGCTTACAGCCTCATGGACTGTGTAAGTGTTTGCAACACGTTCAAGTGCTACTCTACCAATATTATAATTCTCCCCATGAAATAAGTACTTTTTGTGACTTAAGAACTGCCTATCTTTTTTTTCAGGTAATGCTGCCCTTCAAAAATTATGGGAACCTTACTGAAGAGGAGCGCATCTATAATTACAGCTTGTGCAAGTGCAGATGTAGGATAGAGCATGCATTTGGCAAGGCCTTTGGGCAGTGGAGGAGGATGCTTCACAGTGCTAATTTGGACATTGCTGCAGATCATATAGTCTCCTGTTTCGTCCTTCATAATTTTATGATTTTAAATGGTGAAAAGCTTTTGGTAGGTTATCCTTGTTAAACTACTTGCACCTATTTATCTTTTGAAGTGGGAAAAATTAATATTCAACTACTTTTATTTGCAGGATCTGACTGTGGATGATCCTACATATTACTTAGAGAATAATGATGATGAAGAGAACGGTGGTGAGAATGGTGAAGATGAGAATAATGATGATGATGAGGACCCAGAGTTCAACCAATTGGTTCTTGCTGCTAACCTTCGAGGAAGGGATAAACGGCTTGACCTGGTGGCTCAGTTGAACGAACTGTATGGTTAAGAGACTATTACATCTCTATAGAAATTAACGATTAAACAAATTGTGGATCAAAGCACATGTCTTTAATAACAAACCTTAAGTCAGTCAGAACAGAAACATCACATCTTGTGACTAAATTTAACAGACATTATCACATCTTGTGACTGAAATTAAACAGATATTATCACATCTTGTGACTAAAATTAAACAAGAGCATTATCACATTTTGTGACTAAAATTAAACAAGAACATTATCACATTTTGTGACTAAAATTAAACAATCATTATCACACCTTGTGACTAAAATTAGAC